TTGGCCAATTTTGACAGTTGTCAAACAACATATTCTTCCTTTGTGGCATTTTAGTAAGAAAATATTTTGACAGTCTGTAATTCCTTGCTTTTTTGTTTTATTGCACTGGAGGAAATCATCCAACTTCTTGTGATGGCCCACGAATTCTACAAGGTTAAGAAGGCTAGAAAGAATCTAGAACCTTCCAGAAAGGGCCAAAGTATTCTTGAAGGGGCCAGACAGCTCTTGATTGGGCAAAATATTCTAGAATTATGTAGGGAATGCTAGATTGGTCTAGAAAATTCTGGGCACATGTCTCTTGTTTATTCTAGAGATATTCTTGTAATATCTAGAGGATTCTTTGTAGATATCTTAGTAGGTCAATCAAGAGGGTGATTCTAGATTGTTGGATGCAATCAATCTCCACCATTTATGAAGAAGGTGGGAAGGTTAAAATTTGGGGAGGTCCGTAAATACCTTCAGCCCTCCTCATTTGTAATCATCCAAGAAACATCAACCAATGTGTTCTATACTTTGGTGTTGATACTAGTCACATTCCCCAAACTCTATGTTCCTTTGTTCCTTCATCTTGCGTGCTTTGAGAGTTCATCTGACTTAGTAAGGATTAAGAGGTTGATCAATGTTAAGGCTCTTATGGTTTAGGATTTGATGAAGTTCCAAGACCATGACATTTTGCTCTTATATATTTCTTCTTTATTGGGTTAAGAATTATTGAGTTTCAGTTGGGTTTTGAACTTCTATACTCATGGCGCTTGTGTAAAGACCTGTAGTTCTTGAGGGCTGTGATTGATAATTGAGCTGAGTTGTCAGAGCTCTCACAGGCTTCACTTATCTATACTCTGGATTTGCTTGTCATCAGTCTCCTTTAGATTGATCCCTGAGAATGTTTCCTTTTTCTGACAAATGTGTTTAATATTTTTGTTCAGGTGGCATCACAACTGCTGTCTGATAAAGAGAAAAATGATCTTGCTCAATTGGTTAGCACAATGGTATCTTACTCTGTAACATATAAGAACATGAAATCAGATATGCTGCCTAATAGCCTGAGACATGAAGTAGCAGATCACTTAACATTATCATTTGATCCGCCAATCTGTGACTTCATCAATTTTAAGGTTTGAAGCATTTTTCGCAACTTCTATGTTCAATGTTAAGTACCTGATTCTGATTCTGACTTGATACTTTTTTTTCTCTATATACGTGCAGGATTATACCTCAAATCATTATGTGCTTGCTCTAGCTGTCAAGCAGATTCTTGTGCATGAGGTGTGAGCTTAATGCCCTTTATTTTGTTGGAATTTTAGTTTTATTTTCTTTTGTTACTTTATTTAAGGAAGATATTCTTTCCTCCTTCGTATTCTGCTTATCTATGCCAAGTTTACTGTTTTATATTATTGCTTTATTTCCATCGGCTGAGAGGTCATTTTGCACAGGGAATCAAATTTAAAATAGTGAAATATAAACAGCAAAAGAACATAAAAAGGAAATGTGACAACTATCTGGTTCTTGGAAATTTCATCGAGTCCTTTCTATCCCTGGGATTTTTCGTAGGCCTTAGCAAGCTTGGATTGTTATCCTTCGTTTTAGCCACAATAGGTATAATGCAGAACATTTTTTGGTTCACGTTGTTTCCTTTAAAGTATGGTAACATATGCAAGGGGGACTCAGTCTCTGACAAATTTCTCACAAACTCACGTGTTTCAGGTTGAAAAGCAAAAGATCTTGCAAGTTAATATTGATAGACCTTTAGGAAATGGTAGCAGCAGTGGAAGGCCTGAATTCATTGAGGCTGGAACTAGCAATGCCCAATCATCCAAAATCAATCACCCAGCTGCAGTTTCTGCTAAAAACATTCAAAACGAAAGTAATGTCACAAAAGCAAGGAAAAATAATGCAAATGCAACTATAGTTTCACAGAATTCGCATCCTGATAAAGGGGCAGCGGACAATATGAAAGCGCAAAACACAGGAAGGATGAGAAAGCCATCCAGTGGTTCCTTCTTTGACAGGTAAATCTTCCTCATAAGTGCTGTGTATATTTCTGCGTTTGAAACTGAGTCATCATCATCGTAATTTTTTTTGGTCAAACATCATCGTAATTTGTAAGCATCAGTTTAGTGTTATTTTTGTATTTTTTTAATAAGAAATTCTTATCAATTCATCAGAAACCGTCATTTCTTATCCATGTACAGCAATTTACATGTTTTAGTTTTGCTGCCCATTTAAATTTTAAGAAAACAGACAGATATGTTGGCTATTGAAAACGAGCATCATGTAATTAGTTTTCGTGGGATTTATCAACATATTATTCCTTTTGGCATCCACTGTTGGCATGGTACATTAAATCTCTATAAATCTGACAAAGCAACTATTATGTGAAATCAGTTAATGACAACCTTTGGTCTTGTACCATTTTAAAGCCAAAGATAAATTAAGATTTATTGTGACATATATATAGCAGATCTGTGGTTGACTAGCTTTTCTTGATTGATGATTATTTATTTCTGTTTATCTTACTTTGGTTCAAGAGCAGGTTTAGAAAGTCGAATAATAAAGGTTTTCAAAGTGATGATAGAACTGAACAGAAAGAAGCAATCTTGGAGAAAGCTCTACACCCATTACTGTTCAAATTTAACGAGGTATGGTGCTGTTATTTTAATAGAGTTTTTAGTAATGAACAAGATTCTAAGTTCTGTACATATTTGTTTTATCCTCACACTTAGATGGTCAGATTATCGTCCGTGTTGTTGAAGGTTACCATTTAAGGGCATTGGATATGTCTGGAAAATAATCTTACATAGCATACATTCTGCTTTTTGAAAGGACAATGGAAAAACATGAGTCCATAGCAATTGACGGTCCCTTGATAGCAATCTTGTTTTTGATAGTGATGCAAAAAAGTTGTATTTAAATTCGTGTAGATTCTCATGCTCTTCATTGTACTTAAATTCGTGTTGACTCTTTCAAAACTGAGTGAAATTTTGGTATCCAGACCTTCCATTTTAGGTGTTTCATCAAGCTGGGAAGATTATTGACTTCATGTTTTCCATCATTTTGGCGGCTGATTGAAACCACGTCTATTGTGGTACTTATTGTCTATTTACATGAGAAGGATGGTTATAAAAAAGTTACTTAGGCCTCATTTGCTTACTAGAAAGAAAATGAATGGAATGAATTGAAAAAATTATTGTAAAAAAAAGATGATTAAATGGGATAGGTGAGTACATTCTAAGGGAGAAGAAGTAATTTAATTCATGGAGTTGAGAATCATAATTCATAAGATTTTTGGACGATGTGATGATTTTCACATGTGTAGTATATATTAGTGAGTTTTATTATATTTGTCATGGGAGTAAGAGTGATTTAGTTCATGTTTGTTTTGATTTTTTTTTTTAATCTATTCCTTGTCTTAATAAACAAACGTAACTTTAATTTTTGTTTGGTCGCTTAACTTGAATGGTTAATTGCTTTCATCTTATCATGCATCACAGTAAAGTATCATTAACATGAGGCTCTTCGTTTTTATTTTAGTTTTTGTACAAGAAAACAAGGTCATTAACTTTTATTTTTCTTATGCAGGGTTTCACCAACGCTGTCAAGAGGCCTGTTCGTATTCGTGAATTTCTAATGTGATGGCTATGCTTTCCGCAATTATGTAAATGATTTTATATAGTGGGTTATATAGGCCTTTTGTTTGACCAACATGCAAATGCTTGAAACCATCAGTTGAAGGACTAGAAGTTGCTAATTATATGCGGTTTGGGTGATGTCATAAAAATATGGAATAAACTCTAATTTTAAATTATTCATTGCAAGTTATTTCAATAAAAACATCATTAACGGATTTTTTTTTAAATCTAACATCTCAATTCTTTCCATACTTTTGTCAATGACTTTGATATTAAAATTTAATGAATTTATATAAGTCTTATCTTTTAATTCTTGAAAAAAATCTTTTAACGTATCTTTTACGAAAGTATTTTTATAAGCACCTTCTTTAAAGTAAGACAACTTAGCTCTATAATTAGTGCCGATACTCAACAGTTACATGTGCCGCACAATGGTATTTGTTCTGTTACGCTGACTGGTATCAATTTCCTCGTCAAGAAACAATCATAAAAAAGTATTGCTTTCATTGCATTTTCTTTTACTCTTTTTAAGGTCAAATTAAACATCCTCTTTGGATCAAAATGTGACAAATTAAGGCCACTTGTCATTGTCCCTACGTGCTAAATGAATTATCGGTGAATAAATTCAATTTATTCTATCATATTTTTTGAATTAAATCGTGGAGAACTCCTTTTGTTAGCTACATAGTCATTGGTTTCGACTTAATGAAGTCTTTCAATAAAAATAAAGTTCATGTTAGCCAGTATATATATATATATATATATATATATAAAGGGTTCATAGCAGTATTATCTTTGATGACATCTTTATCAAATAAGATTCCGAATATATTGTCATTTTTTTATAATTATTCAACCAACCTTCATTTCTATGCATAATTTCAAAGTCAGGCATACACTGTAGTAACAACTATGCAACTTTTATTTTTATGATTGAATTCAACGTAAATTGAATTTAACTGCTTCGAAATTTTTGTTTCATAAACTGAAATTGCTTTTTAAACTTGCGTAATATTTGGTATTATGGTATATGAAAATTTTTTTTAAAGAAAATTAAAAACTACACTATCTTATCATTGCTTTATTGTAGGGCAATGCATTTTTCTATTTCTTTTTTTTTAAGTTCGTATATTAAACATTACATTAGTTTCCCTTGGCTCAAACTTGGATTTGCAAATTCAAAACTGTTTAAATTTAAGATTGCAAACATGGCAATAATTAAATATAAATATAATATCGTAGAGAGCCACACGAAAATATTTTTGGGCAGAATAATGAAGTTTTTGAGGGAAAGGAAAAAAGAAGCACAATAATAACGTGACAACCAGGAACCTAAACGGCAAAACCAGTAAACCTCAAGGCTCAAACTGAAAAAAAAAAAAAAAAAAAAGAATTCTGCACTTGCCTTTTGTGGGTTTGGGATTTGGCGCGTAATACAATGCTCATTCAAATTTTCGTCATTATTCCGCCATATCGTATCAAGCAAGCGCCACGCCTGGACAGAACAAAGCACTTGGCATTTCAATCGTATTCCTGAATATGATCTCCAAACTACAGAAACCGATTAGGGTCTTTGGCCAGCTATCAATTGATTCAACATTCCGTAAGCTCCCTTCTGATTCGTAAGCACAACAAACCCCGCTCTCTTCCCTCTAATAGATTATTTAATTTCATGTATCTGTTTCCTTTACGTCTTACCCTTTCTTTCCCATTTTGGGATGAAACTCTTAGTTCAACTAGTTCCAACGATCTTAAAGGCAATGAGGGAAGACAAGCTTCACACAAGAGCATCCCTTTCTCGCTTTCAGACTTCCTCGATCGCAAGTTGCAGAAATCTTCTGTAGTTCTCGGAAGAATTCAGGTGATCTTAGGCTTTCTGTTTCGTATTTTACTTTTTTATTTTATACTTAGCTGAGCCATTTCCGGATGAATGCATAAAATCCTGTTATTTATTTTCACGGAGAATAAAAGTTATTTCTAATAACTTTGGGGAAGCAGGGAATGGTATACCTCAATTTGAGATGTCGGTGACTTAGGGTTTTGTCTCAAAGATAGATTCACTGGAATCACTAAAAAGAAATGACGGATAATTGTTGAATTCACGCTTATTTGTTGCTTCCATTGTGCGTTTGAATCTCTAAAAATAATTTATCCTATTCGTTACAGGGTAAACCAACGCCTTTTTTATCTCCTCTGGGTTTAGGAATATCCGAAGTTAAAGATGTAGGGACCATCGAACAAGTTGATAAAGAGACAAAGAGTATCAGTGATAGAGTGATCTTTGAAAAGTTCAAGCATAATGATGAAGAGAAGGGAGATTTCATTGGTCCAAGTGGTGTTAACGAGACAGAAAATTCCGTCGAAGATGATATGCAAGAGTCAAGGAAAAGAAAGAATGCATTTGCAGGTTTGTCTTCCTTTCCCTATAAATTAAAGCAGAAAGTCCTCGAGATAAGGATTTTTCCCTTGCGCTGTTATTTCTCCGTTATTTTCTTGACGAATCAACGGATATTAGCATCTTTGGTTAAATCAGTGATTCAAGGCATAACAATCTCTGTTGATTTTCTCACAACAATCTTTGTGAAAGTTCAAGTATCATAGGTTCCTTTGGGGACAACTATAAAAATGGGAGAATTAAGTGTCATAGGTTTAGTATAGGATCCTTTATGTGCATCTATCTGTTGAAGTTTAGGATGTTTTTTGGCTAGTATAGATTGAATGTTTGCTGAAAGATGACTGTCTTTTGTTCACTCTTGGCTTGTTCTTGACTTTTGAGCTTATGAAAATCTTTAGGTCAACTACACTGCCTCAAACAGTTTAAATGTCACTTTGTTCCAACAAGTAACTAAACTGTGTAAAAAAGATATAGTATTCAATGAAAACTGCGGAAGGATGAGTACATGAGTTATTTAATGTCAGATTAGCAGTGACTAGAAAGAACTGAGGTTTGATCAATTCTCTGATGGAACTGAAATAACCAAGTGTCTAACATGTGTCATGTGTGATGCACATTTACTTAAACTTTATCGCTGTTTTCTTTCAAATTTTATTTTTATGATTGTTCGATGGGAGATAGGTGAAGTGATTATATGGGTGCTGTGTATATGTCATGATAACAATTGCTTCTGTTCCTCTTTTTTCGCGTCATTTCCTATAGCTTCGATTGATGGTACTATTTTCTTTTCATAACTTAAAGAATGTGTTTATGATTTAATTCTTGTGTTCCCTGTTCATGGGCTTCTTATAGGCACTTCTGCTATATAAAATGATTTAAGATTTGTTTCCAGTTTGTCTAGCCTGAAATATGAGTTAGGTTGGAACTTCAAACATACGTAGTTTTGTATTTGCCTATGCTGTTGCTGGAAAACCATTTCGACAGGTTATCTTTCAATTCTGATTACCCTGAGTGACGATTGTATTCATTGAATACAGGGACAGCTACGATAGTTGCATATTTGTGATTGGCATCTCATCTAAGTATTATGTATAGTGTTCAAATATCTTGTGTTTTTTACTGTTTTGTGAGCTCAAGCAGATCGTAATCCACAAGCTTGGAAGTTTGAATTTTGGTGGATTTTGATTGTTAAAATCCTTGAACAATTTTTTTGGGTAAAAAATATTTTTTAACAACTTCACACTCACGAAAACATTAAGAACGCCTAGGCCTTTTCTTTTCTTTTCTTTCTTTGCTGCTTTCTTTTTTTCTTGCAGGCATGTGCCTTCGAACATAATTAGCTAATGCACATAAATCTAACATGAACTGGGTTTTGCTTATTTGCATATAATCTTCATAGAATCTGTCATCCGGATAACTTCATTGTTTTTGGTAAACTGAGTGCCATTTTATGCAAAGGCCCTTGCATGAACCGGTGGAGAAATAAATATTAACAGCCTATTGTCACGTTTCGTCATTTTTCACAAGGTTAAAGAGGTCCGGAATGCTCCAGAACCCTCCAGAAGGCTCCCAGCTAACCTTAAGAGTGCTAGATAGTGCAAGAACATTCTAGAGAAGCCTACACAACTCTAGCCTCAATATTTTAATATTGTCTCTAGATTCTTCCATTAAAATATCTAGATATTTGTTAAGAGAATTCTAGAGAATCAATTGTAACCGTAGGATAGATTTAATCTCCACCGTCCATTAAGGAGGTGGGAACATTCTAGATCCAAGGGGAGGCCTATAAATACCTCACCCCTCCTCATTTGTAAATCATCCTTGAGTTCTCAAAGCTATAGAACTCTCACATTCTCTCTCTACTCTCCTTTGCCTTCAAGCTTTCCCTTTCCTCTTCTTAGCCAAGCATCCTCCTTTCATACGAGTTAGGCTTACTTAGCGACTTCCAGTGAAGGTTGTCTAAGTGCCGCACGGGTCGAAAGACTAGCCCCGTGACACTATGCTCTCAATTCTTAGTCTGAGAACAAAAGGATGTCTAAGATTTTCTTTCAAATTTGCGAAGTCTATATAGGATAAAAATGCTACCCCCTTTTCTAAGAATTTATTCATTTTGCATTTTGGTTTCGTCTTGGACCTTCTTATTCTGTGTGCTGCTAGGACTGAGTGAGAACCAGACCGTTAAAAGGCAAGTGGTAATTCTTGGAGGTGAATCAACTAGAAAGCAAATTAGAAGAACTACTGCTCATTCTTCAAGCAACAAAAGGCCCCGACCGCTTTACAATCACTGTATGTTCCATCTGCATTTGGACATGTAAATTGCGTTGTATCTGGTGAAAGTGTTTCAAAACCTCAGTAGACATTATTGCTTAATTTTTCATGTTGAATAGATAAAAATGGCTGTGGATGGTGGGACTGCGACATGGAAGGTGTTGACAACGAGGAAGTGGGCTTCCATGAAGTATGGGAAGGGGTGGGGTCCGCCTCACTTGGAGAGATTGTTGATTGGCATTGATTTTACCTAGCTTTTGTTTGTAAGTATTTTGCTTCTGTGCTGTGCCTCAAGCTTAACTGGTGTTAAAAGGGCAACCAGCATGGCCATGGCCTTTCCAAGTTTTCATTCTTTTTTTTTTTTTAATATTATGTGATATACGTTCACAATATACTAAAATCCATGCAAACTTTATACAATATATGTTCCATATTTGATTAATTTAAGTTCCTCTTATCTGATTGATAATTGAGCAGATGAAAACGTCACTTGAATTTTATGGTTTCTGTCAAATCTTCAGGACTAAATTGAGTAATTTCAGTCACCTAGTGCCATTCTGTAGTCTAAAATAGCATCATGGACGTCCTTCAAGGTCAACTGCGCTGCCACCCCTTGCTCAATTTGCTATTCATGATATTGTAAACTTGGGTAGGTGCTCAAAACAGCATATAAATTCCATTTTTTGGCCAACAAGTACAACGTTTTCATCATTTAAATTGTCAAGAATGCAATGCGTGGAATGAATCAGTGAATACAAGAGTGGTAGATTTTCAGCCAATGCATTTTTAGCACGAAACAATTTACTAATTGATGTGTATGGCTTTAGACATTTTCTATTTAAAAAAGTCAAAAAAAAATAAAAACATAGGAGTTATAAGCTGAACTACTTTGACTCGTTTAGGACTCAGGTGATTAGGTCGGACCAACCAAGCTTCACTAATTTAAATTCCCCCGCTCTCGTCTTTTTTTTTTGTTTTTTGTGGCGTCCTCAATTTTCAGCGGAAATGTCTATATATAAATGAGTTATAGTAGGCCCTTCCTCCATTTTTTTTTTTGAGAATTATAGCCAATTCTCTTTCAAAAAAATTAATTACAAATAAAAATAATGTGAAACAGATTGTTGTTAAAATATAAAATATGACTTTTTTTTAATAAAATTTATTGTTAGTTCTTATCTTCTTAAAGGGGATTGGCTGTAATTTTTTCTTAAAAGTTAAAGCAAAAACAAGAAAAGAAAAGAAAGAAGACGCCATTGTGAGGCCCAAGATACTGTTTTATAAACTGAAGTTAATTACAGCATTAGAATCTTGGAGTTCAAAATTCAAATACTACATTATATCATTGGCCGAAAATAATACTATACGTAACGTCTTTCTCACTTTTGGATGGACCCAAAGGCACCCTCTTCAAGAAAAGAAAAATAAAGTAAATTGTGCCTTCTTGAGATTGTTTTGAGATAAGATTTGGTGAAATCCAAAAGCAGTTATTTTGTAATTTATTTAAAATTTTAATATACTAACATTCTTCATATAAACAAAGACACTAAATTAAAAAGATGCCATGAATTTCTATCAATTAATCTGACCTCTTGAAATTTCGTGGTATTACTTTTTATTTTCTTTTCTTTGGCAGAGTTAAAATAAAGGAAGGTGTAAGTGCTTGAAAATTCCGTGCGGGAGATTAGACAAAGACTGACGCATAAGTCTAACTGCTAGGGCCTGACAAAATTTATTGTCACGAACACTAATATTTCAAAATGTTAAATCAAATTCAAAAATATGAAAGGCACTGAGAGGGACATCTTTCTACTTTTAATCATTTTCAATTTGTTCCCTCTCACCGTTTTTTTTTTTCTTTTGAAATTTGAATGTTCAATGGATATCCCCTTTCCTTTTTCATTTTTCAACTGCCTCTCAAACTGGACGGCACCAAGTCCACAGTTTCCTGACTACTACTTTCATATAAAAATTTATAATAATATATTTCCTCTATTTAAAAATATTAAATATTTTTAAAAAATTAAATGTTTAAAAATATAAAATATTTTTAATATTTTAAAATGTAATCATTATTTTTTTAAGTGCCTTTATAATGACTTTATATTTATTATGAAATTTTTAATAAGAATAAATATGAAAAGATGGAGTTAATTGAAAAATAGGTAACTACTTTATTAAAAGATAAGATTTAATTAAAAATATTTTACATTTTTTAACGGAAGGAGTATTATATTTATTTTTTAAAATTTTATTAAAATTACATGGCTTTTTTTATTTTTAAACTTACATGAATTTTTTCTTAAATAAAAAATAAAGTATACAAATTTCCTTTGAATTGTTTAAAGTTGCGAAATTTTCTTTTTCAACGTGAATAATAAATAATGAAAGATCTCTTGAGTTTTACTGAAAAAAAAATATAATTTTTATTTTCAATTAAAGTTTGTGTCGATTTTTAAAAATATATGTAGTTTTGACAAGATTGAAGTCTGAACAATTTTTTCGTAATCTCTTTTTCAATAGATATTTTTGAAAGTTGTAAAAACTGAGGGAAATTATATTTAATTTAGTGAAATTTAAAAAAAATCGTAATTAGTTTTAAAAATAGAAAATAAGTAAATAAAATTTTTTTAAAAATTAGATAATAAGTATATAATTTAATATTTAAAACAAAATAGGATAAACATAAGTACATTTTTTTTACTGTAGTTAAGTGGAATTCTTAACAAAATTATGGCACAAATAAAAACAATTTAGATGGTTACGTCTTATTTTAAAAAGTTATAACAAATGTCTACGCTCAAATTTGACAATGAGAGATATGAATTGAGGATATTCACATTCTATTTCAAACAAAAAAAAAAAAACCCCCCGATACTAGAAAGAAAGGAGACGATATAAGGGGAAAAGAAAGAGGAAAAAAAACTAAAAAGATCCAACATTTTGCGTCTGGTTCAATTTATCTAATCTATCTAACTTTATCAAAAGGTTGTCTTTGTTGATGGAACCTGCATGCTTTTCGTTGTCATCATATAAGTGCATTTTTTTTCTATATTTTCTTTGTCACTGTTTTTTTGAGTGGAAATGGGAATATCATTAAGCCAATGAACTGTGTACACCAGCTAAAACAACAGAAAAGCAAGAAAAAAAGTTACATCAAAGACTTGCAAGTATCTTTGTCACTGTTATGTACAATAGAATAGAACTTCGTTTTTGCAGTTGGACTTGTCTTTTCTTTAACGCTAAGGGACGTTGTCTCAAAATTTAAAGGTTTCTACAATTTGCCAATATCTATCACTGGTTTGATTTTTGAAGTTATTTATCCAGGCTAATATAATATCGCATAACCCATGATTGTTTTAACTAATTGTTTAATAATATTTTTTTAATTACTTTTGTGTGTATCAATAAAATTATTTTTTGAAATTTATTTTCTTGTTCATCTTTTCACAATCTACAGAAGCCAAATAACATAAAATGATAAAGAGAATAGACAGGAGATACTTGTAATCATACAGGGTAAATAAAAAAACAGGGGCTAATAAAAAAGTGGGAATATTGTGGGATCATATAGCAAGTCATAATTGACGTTACAGTTGAATCCCACTAAATGCCCTAAAAAATTTCCCGTTGCAGTGTAAAAAATGCATTTTCGGTAACAAATTATATAAAATTTAAATAGTTAGGCTGAATTATATGATTTATTATAAATATTATGATCTATATACATGTATCTATATATATATAGTAGAGAAAGTAGATTCATACTTCTCTCTCTTTTTTGAGCACATGGAGTGGATCTACCAACAATTAAAATTCTTCCTGTGTGAGAGTAAATGGTAGGTCATTTTTAACAAGGTTATTATATATAAATATATAAATAACCAAACTTTTTAACTGAAGTTTGGAGATACAGTGGATTGAATTGCTTTTAAAAATAATCGGTTTTTGTTTTCCTAACCCACACACCCAATTCCTTTTCATCTCTCAGTAACGAAAGCATAAAACACATCAATTTCCATTTACACTGATTATTGAAATATTTGTTTATGGATTAATATTAATTAATAAGTTCAAACAAATTGATCTTTATAATTTTATATGGATCGTGATAGGTAAACCACACAAGTGAGCTTAATAGGCAGAGGCCCAACCCACAATCCAGTAGCCATCAGTTATTCTCTATCTCTTAATTGACTGAGTCAAAAATAATAGAATATAATTATTTAATAAGGCGGTTACTGATTTGATCCTTATAAATTGATCAGTCGATAACTATAAACACACGATACATTTTTCTCTATTTTATTATCTCTGCATTCTCTGAAAACTCTGAAGTTTAGTAGGTTGTGTATATGTTTACACTCAAGATAATCGAGCTTTCTCAAGCAATTAATTGATTCCTCAAGTATGCACAAAATTACTTAATTTTATTATATTCAATTATATATAAATTGATATATTTGATTACACTACAACTTCCACAGCTGCCAAGCCACAGGAATGAATGAAGCGTGAGATGTAATGCATTTAAAGGCTGGACGCGAATCTATGCAACAAGACACAAGGGAACTTAGAAAATTCTGAAATTCTTCCCCTTCAATTATTCTTCCGCCTCTTTTATTTTTCCCTTAAATGCCAGCTTTCGACGGGCCAAAAAAAAAAAAAAAAAAAAGCTTTCACGGAGTCACAGAGTAGCTACCATAAATTATTCTCTTAGAAAATTGTCTTTTAGATTTTCCTCACGCTGTTTTAATTCTAAATTCTAAATGGTATTTTTATATTAAAAATACTTAAACCTTAAAAATCTTATATCTCTTCTCATCAGTAACGCTACAAATTCCAGATATTTGTTCATCACCTTTTGAAAAAAGTTGTCACGGCATTTTCAACCAGCACTTTGAATTTAATACCGTGATCATATAAATTAATATTAATAACATTATTAAGTAAATGAAATGGTTTGGAAAGATTAGTCAATCGATTTCTCTTCATTTTGATTGCGACCATTTTATATTCAACCAGCATAGAAAAACTACTCTCGTGATCTTGAATATCTTTACTTGCTTGTTTGTTCGTTCGCAGAGCTTGACTTTTCAAAGTTCAAGCCTAGATAATATTTCGCCATTCTTGCTGCATTTTTTTTTTGGATAATAAGAGGAAAGCACTCTTAATGCATTTTTTTTGTTTTATTTAATCAAAATACATTCATTTCATACGCATATAATCATTGTTGTCAAATTTTTAAATTAACTTTTTAAATTTCTTATTTTTACATTTTTAACTTACAAAATTACATTAACTTGCTCATAAACTCACATTGAATAAAACTCGATTAAATTCATGAATTAAATTTTTAAATTTTTTGTTTTTAAATTTTTAGTTTATAATTAAAATCATATCAATTCACTCATAAATTTGTTAAGCAAGATAGGTATATACTATGCAAAACTTAATTTATAAAA